GGGGGGGAAGGGGGGGGAGAGGGAGTTTACCTATTGATGGTGTGAAAAGGGAATTTATAAGAGCTGCGAAAGTTTGGGGTACCACTACTTGAAAAAATATACTGTACCATTGAAATTAGTTTAATGTTTAGTTCGATTTAGAACATCTTTCCAATGGTTGCTTAATTTGAAACCATCCTCTCGGTTGAAATTGTGTCTGTGTTTGTAGGTCTGAATTACTTCATGAACAAATCTCTGATAAAAGCCCATGGGTTTGCAAAGAACCTTGGTATCGGAGAAAATTATATCGTGATCCCCCACAGCGTTGTAACAGTGATCAACCACGGTAGAAGAATTCGCTTTGCCGTGTTTCAAATCTCATTTGTGCTCGCGAATTCGGTCAGAGACATGTCGCTTTGTCTCCCCGATATAGCAATCACCGCAGGTACAACTCAATTTGTAAACCCCGGGGTACTGTAAATCAGGAATGACATCCTTCACGGATGGGATCAGATCACGAATTTTGTGTACTGTATTGAACCGGACCTGGATCTTGTGTTTGTTTAGAATTTTGGAAATCTTTTTAGTAACGCCTGCTATATATGGAAGTGTGATGGTTTTGACCGGAGTATCAAGTGGTTGTTTCTGTATGGAGGGAGAAACAGCTTGGCGGATGGTACGGTCAGAGAAACCATTCCTTTTGAGGGCCAGGTGTACATGTTTTAATTCACTGGTCAGGTGGTGTTGGTCCGAAATGCAATGAGCCCTATGGTATAAAGTTTTGATGAGAGAATTCTTTTGGGCTGGGTGGTGGTGGGAATCAGGTTTCAAGTAGGAATCTCTGTGGGTGGGTTTCCTGTAGACAGAATGCCCCAATGAGCCATCAGGTCTCCTCTCAAACAGAACATCTAAGAATGGTAGCTTGCCATCTTTCGCCACTTCCATGGTGAATTTGATGGCGGGATGTCTGGAATTGATGTGGTGTAGGAAAAGGTTCAGAGCTGGGAGGCCATGTGGCCACAGGACGAAAGTGTCATCCACATATCTCTTCCACAGGGAAGGTCTGAGGGTGGAAGTCTGGATGGCGTCTGATTCAAATTTCTCCATGAAAATATTGGCTATCACTGGTGATAAGGGGGATCCCATGGGGTACCCTCATTTTGTTTGTAGAAGGAGCCATTCCAAGTAAAGTAGGTATTGTTGAGGCAGTGCCTAACCAGTGCAGGTGTGTCGGGGTCTAGTCCATGTTGGACCAAATTTTCAATTATTTCAATGGTATCAGGTACTGGAACCTTGGTGAACAAAGAGACCACATCGAAGCTTACAAGGATATCGTCAGGGGACAGTACAACGTCTTTGACCATAGAGACCAATTGGGCTGAGTTAAGTACTGCTGAGGCAGTCTTGCCAGTGAAAGGCAGTGAGGTATCTGACAGAAAACGGGCTAGTCTATAGGTAGGGGAGTTGATCGTGGATATGATGGGTCGAAGTGGGGTGCCTTCTTTATGAATCTTGGGAATACCATAGAATCTAGGGGTCTTGCAGCAGAAGGTTATAGGGAGGGACGTTTAGTTGGGTCGATTAGGGAGGTCGAACTTGTGATGATCTTGTTGGTTTTTATCGCTAGGCTATTAGTAGGGTCATTTTTTTTTATTTCGAGTAACTTCCATGTGGCCAAATGACGAAAGTGGCCACATGGCCTCCCAGCTCTGAACCTTTTCCTACACCACATCAATTCCAGAGATCCCGCCATCAAATTCACCATGGAAGTGGCGAAAGATGGCAAGCTACCATTCTTAGATGTTCTGTTTGAGAGGAGACCTGATGGCTCATTGGGGCATTCTGTCTACAGGAAACCCACCCACACAGATTCCTACTTGAAACCTGATTCCCACCACCACCCAGCCAAAAATAATTCTCTCATCAAAACTTTATACCATAGGGCTCATTGCATTTAGGACCAACACCACCTGACCAGTGAATTAAAACATGTACACCTGGCCCTCAAAAGGAATGGTTACTCTGACCATACCATCCGCCAAGCTGTTTCTCCCTCCATACAGAAACAACCACTTGATACTCCGGTCAAAACCATCACACTTCCATATATAGCAGGCGTTACTAAAAATATTTCCAAAATTCTAAACAAACACAAGATCCAGGTCCGGTTCAATACAGTACACAAAATTCGTGATCTGATCCCATCCGTGAAGGATGTCATTCCTGATTTACAGTAACCTGGGGTTCACAAATTGAGTTGTACCTGCGGTGATTGCTACATTGGTGAGACAAAGCGACATGTCTCTGACCGAATTCGCGAGCACAAATCAGATTTGAAACACGGCAAAACAAATTCTTCTGCTGTGGCTGATCACTGTTACAACGCTTTGGGGGATCACGATATAATTTTCTCCGATACTAAGGTTCTTTGCAAACCCACGGGCTTTTATCAGAGATTTGTTCATGAAGCAATTCAGATCTACAAACACAGACACAATTTCAACCGAGAGGATGGTTTCAAATGAAGCAACCATTGGAAAGATGTTCTAAATCGAACTAAACATTAAACTAATTTCAATGGTACAGTATATTTTTCAAGTAGTGGTACCCCAAACTTTCGCAGCTCTTATAAATTCCCCCTTTTCACACCATCAATAGGTAAACTCCCCCCTCCCCCCTTCCCCCCCCCCCCCCGCGCCAAACTGCAAGTCCACCGGCACGTACACCACCTCTTTCCTAAAATCCGCCAATCAAATGCTAATTTTTATGCTAATTTCTTTGTCAGAACACCTTGTTTGCTCGCACACAGTTTAAAGGTCCGCTGTCTGAGCGTGGTTGTGTTTCGCTAAATTCTCCTGTTTGATGAGTACTAGGTGTCTCGGTGAATGTATATGCTCTGACTTTAACATAGCTATTTCTGTGACCAGTTACAAGCTAATCACTCAGCTATTTCAATGCTAAATTCTATGCTAATTCCTTTGTCAAGGGGTACCTCTGCGGATGTGTATACTTTAACTTAGCTATTTCAATGAGCCATTTCAATGCTAAATTATATGCTAATTCCTTTGTCAAGGCGCTTTGTGTTTTTCTTCTCACACAGCTTAAAGGTCGTGATCTAAGAATGGCTTCTCTCACTCCAGCGCTGTCCTCCAGACAGTCTCGTCCCTTTACCTGATGAAGGCCGCTTGTGTTGTGGCCGAAACGTCGTGATTTTTCGTTATTTTATTTTCACCTACGTGACTTTACCCAATAGAACCAAAGAGTAAAGACTTAATTTGTTCACTCTTGCTGGTTACTCTTGGCAACCATATTGTTTACCATCACTGAGTTTAGAAAGGTATTTTATAACGTTCTAGGTTACCGTATATTTACATTTTATAGTAGTTATTTTTATATTCGCAGATTCACGCAACATGATTATTCACCGATGACTCTTCACGTATGATAGAATTCCAGATATTTATAAATCATCTCGCGTACCCCCCTAGGACATTGCCACGTGTACCCCCCAGGGGACCACGTACCCCCGGTTGAGAACCACCACTCCATGGGGCAGGGCTTCCCCAAATGCAGTCCCCGCAACCAACCGACCGACCAACAGCCACCACGCTCTGTCCTTCACGCGTTCACAAATTTACTTCATCCCCATTCAACGGTGGCCTTGAACTCCGTGCAGACCCACCAACCCCACAACGGTGCACACAGCCAGCAGCGCCTTCCTCATTCCCAGGGAGATGGGGCCAAGGGGTTTAAGTCTTTGATAAATGTCGGTGGTCAGTAGAGTTTATTTAGGAGGGTAAAACTCAAAAGCAGAAAAAATAGCAGACAAATTTGCTTAACACAAAAAAAATGCTAAAGAACGAGTTTTCTGAAAAGCCCACTGAGGTATTAATTCATTTTTCAAAAGCAAGCTTGGCAGAAATGAAGGCTCAACAAAGTGGCTTATCATTTGGACATTTACAGCAGCAAAATAATCTAAACACTCGAAACGCATTTTCTAAATGTGGAGGGAAAAACTGGAGGACGCGGAGAATCAATTCACGCGACCACGGGGAGGACGTGCAAACTCCACATATATATGCAGGCGTCAGGGTCGGGATCGAACCCCCGATCTCCTGCATACCGGGCGAGGAGGATAGCATCTCGTCACAGTGGCACCCCTTCAATAAATAAAGTAGACAAGTTCAGCTTGCACCATCAGTTCCGACCCTTATACTCGAGAGATGAGCGGGGGAGGAGGAGGGGGGGGGACACGCAGCGGGGATTAGACAAACAAAAGGGGGACCACTTTTGTCAACGCAGAACGTTGCGCAATATTTTCGTATTCTGCTGAAGCGCAAGGTGTGGTGGTCTCGTCGTTGCGCTGTCCGCGGGGACTCGAAGCGAACGTCGCAGCCCCGAATGACCTCTCTCCGAGCGAGAGGACGAACCCCGCGCAGCAGCGCGGTGTCGGTCAGAGGGCCGCGACGATGCCTGCTGTGTATTTGCGTGTGACGAGATGCTAACTACCTCGCCTGGTATACAGGAAGTCGTGGGTTACATCCCGACACTGATGATGCCTGTTGCATGTTTGTAGCTTTCATGTCTGTCCCTCCCCCTCCCCGTGCTTGTGTGGATTTTTCTTCCGTGACCTCCGGTTTTTTTGCTCTCCACGTTTAAAAACACGCGTTTAGTAGTAGTAGGAAAGCAACTGCAATTTGTATTTTTACCAGGTAAAAGCCCACTGAGCCAAATACATAGCTCTTTTTAAGAAGCTACCTGGACATGACAAATGATTGCTCAAGGAAGTGGCCTCTCGTCACGCCATGCGCTTTAGCAGATTACAAAAAATTGCAAAATATCCATTGCGCAAATTCTGTCTAAATCGCTGTGGCACCGGTGACCAATGAGTGCCACCGCTTTTTTCCACTCTACGCTGTGGCCTCCCACCCCCTCATCCCTCGATTACTTCAAATGCCCAGGCGCCCACGCAGGTCCGGCTCACAGCACCTATGCTGCTCCCCTCACCGTTTGTGCCCAGAACGATCGCAAACACGAACAATTTGAACATTTGAACAAAATACATTTTCATTATTTTTTGGTTGTTTGCTGTTAACCTTCGCCGGCTTATATTTTAAAATTTGGCCCCAGCATTTATTTTTGCTCAAAGTTTTTGAGTTTTACTATCCGAAATAAATTAATTTTGACCACTAACATTTGTAGTCGACTTAAACGCCGCGGCCTTGTCTCTCTCTGCGAATGATGGAGGCGCTGCTGGCTGTGTGGATGTTGGGGTTGGTGGGTCTGCACGGAACTCAGGGCTTCCCTGGTGGAGCTCCATCATCTGCCTGCACCGATATGGTTCCACAGCACGACCCCAACACACTGACCGGCACACCCTACTCCATCGTCACCAACAGCAGCACCTTCACCTCTGGCACCAAGGTTAACGGTGAGTGAATGACCCCACCACCCACCACCACCCCGACACAACTCCCTCCGCTCGTCGACTGTCCGTACGTTGAGCTTCTTTCACACCGTACGTAGCCAACCGTGCTAGTCGCAGGTGCGGATTCCTCCAGCCCGTATCAAGGACTCAGTCGACTGGACTGACCGCTCCTCATCTGCACGGCGTTCAACCACCACGGACCGCTCACTCACTCAGCTATAGAGTCGCTTGGCAAACGAGCAGACGCTACTGAGTTGTACTCTACTCAATTACGACAGGGCAGCCTCGATTTACGATTATTCGTCATTAAAGCTTTCGTGACTGCAAGGATTCATCTTCTTTGGTTCTTTCGGTTAAGTCACGTAGAATGAGAATAAAATAATAAAATAACGCAATACAATTCTCACGACGTTTCGGCCACAACACAAGTAGCCTTCTTCAGGTGAAGGAACAGAACTGTCGGGACGAAGCTCTGTCGTCCGACAGTTCTGTTCCTTCACCTGAAGAAGGCTACTTGTGTTGTGGCCGAAACGTCGTGAGAATTTTATCGTGTTATTTTATTTTATTAGTTTATTATTTTATTCTCATTCTACGTGACTTTACCGAAAGAACCAACGAAGATTAGTTCGTAAGTCAAAACGTAATAGCGTACCGTATTGGACACACGATCATTGCTATGCAATTTGTTACGGTTCAACAAAAAATGGAAGCAGTTAAACTAATGGAGAATAAATATTGTACATTTGCATGTAACACTGTGAACAAAACTACTGTACAGTAAAAATAAACGCAAAATAAAGTAACATAACATGTACAAATTCCGTTTATTTTCACTTACCTTGAGTCCTGATGCTGGTGTGCTTGTCGGAAGGGACGCAATTAGTCACCAAAATTGCACTCACACACACGGGTCGCACACACAGATGCACACACAGACACACACACAGGGCATGCACGCACACACATAAACACACACAGGATACGTACGCACACACACTCCACCGATCCCCCACTTAGCTTTAACACATTGTTGGAGAGCAGCGCCTATGAAGGCCGGCACAGCACACGAGGGGGTGAGCGGGAAGCACCACGCCCGGCCGCCTTCGTCTCCGTGGTAGAAATATTTACACACTGCACCAGGCACTCATTTGGGGCTGAGTCGACCTCGGGGAGGCCAAGGAGCGGTTCGGATTATCGCCACCGGTGTTGGCCGTGAGCGGAAATCGAACTCGGGTCACCGGATTCATAGCGCAGCGCGCTAACCAATGCGCCACCGCAACCCATACACACACCGCCCTCTCTCTCACACACACACACACTTTCACACACACACGCTCTCTCTCACACACACACTTTCACATACGCACAAACACTCCCAGCGCAAGATTGACCCATGACATCTCGCGCAGGATCGCTCCGCCGAACAAAATTGTTCCCGTGGATCAGTTTGCAAGTGCGAGTTCGCGTTTTAAGTCAACGTCAAAATAAATATATTTCATGGAAGCTAGTTCGTACGTCGGGTGTTCGTAAATGCTCTTAAGTTGAGGACTGTCTGTGTTTCGCACATTTCCTTTGGACATGGGGGATGGTTGATATGCACTGTATCGACATTTGGTGCCAGGACTGTTGAATTTCAATACCGCAGTGCTCTGTGTGTTATCCCCCCCGACGACCCATTTGGGAGATCCAAAGTTGTGACGGACGGACTTTTGCAAATGATCATGAACAAAGAAATGGCGGAGTTCTGATAGAACCTCGCGCTGAGAAAAATGTCTGCGTGGAGTCTCCAGTGGCTAAGCCGACTTGTCCCCGAGAGCCCGGTCCGTCTCCAATTCAAGAGAGCGCTGGGCTTAAAATCACGGGGAATTTAAAACGAACCGGATTGTCCACTTTTACTGTGGAGTCATCCCAGCCACAGCTCGTGTCACGAAAGGGGCGAGAAGCGCGACAGCCGAGCTAAGGTGGTGGGGGGGCTGCGAGCGTCTCACAAATTGTCGCCTCCTTGTGTCTGTCCGCAGTCACCATCGTGGGCACCTTCAAGGGCTACTTCCTGCAAGCGCGAATACCCGACACCACGACCATCGTGGGCACATGGGACACCCCACCTGCAAACAACATCTTCGTGCTGGTGACTCATCCCTTGGTTGACATCATCCTCATGAATTTCGATTTAAAGCTTTCGTGACTGCAAGGATTCATCTTCTTTGGTTCTTTCGGTAAAGTCACGTAGAATGAGAATAAAATAATAAATTGATAAAATAAAATAACACAATAATATTCTCACGACGTTTCGGCCACAACACAAGCAGCCTTCATCAGGTGAAGGGACGAGACTGTCTGGAGGACAGCGCTGGAGCGACTTTACCGAAAGAACCAAAGAAGATCATCCTCATAATCACGATCCATGGGCAGATAGCCCGGAGGTGTCCACTGCACATCTCGTCATTTGTTTCCACTTTCCTCTGTCTTGCGCAACTTGCTCAAGTAGTAGTCGTCGTCAAGCCATTGTCTGAGGTCTTTCTCTCGTTCTTGTTCCTTTCATATTTCTGAACAACACTTTTAATTTCCATCCTACATGTTGTGTGCCCACAGTGCCAGTTTCCTTCTCATCACCGCCTACGTTAGTCACTCTTTGGGTCCTGCCATCACTCCTTTGGTTCTTGATCCTCACTCTTGGCGGATGTCGTTTAATCTGCCACCACCCGACACAGCCAATTAGTGAGGTTTGTCAAGTATCAAAACATGGCAATTCGTAACGAAATGAATAGAATGTGGTGGGTGGTTAATGCGCGGGTTCGGGATGTTTCAGGCTGGACATTGGCCCATTCTAAGCACGCAAAGCCCCTTTAACTCAAGGCGAGGTAAGGGACGGGGGATAAACACGGCTGGGGCACGTGGTCATCCTGTGCACGTTTCCATCATTGCCAACCCGGCCTGGGCTGTACAACAGCCAACAAAGGGCTCCATAGGCTCATTGGGTTCATTCCAGCTTCAATAACAATGTCCATTGTCGTTTTGTTTCTGTGTCTCGCAGTGCAATTCCGTGCCAAATGCCGCGGTGACGCACTCCACCAGCACGTCCAAGACGAACCTGAACTTGTTTTGGATCCCGCCGACTACAAACCCTCCCAGCTCCGTAGTGTTTGTGTGAGTTCACCGTCACAGGGCACTCTTACGCACACAGCCCACTGGATTATTATGGATATTAGTACTAATTACACGCCACAGTGGCTACGAGATGTTAACTACCTTCGCCTGGTATACAGGAAGCTGTGGGTTCGATCCCGACCCCGACGCCTATATATTTGGAGTGTGCATGTCTCTCTCAATGTGGTCAGGTGGATTTTTCTCCGGGTCCTCCGGCTTTTCCCTCCACATTTAGAATGGCCACATATTTAGAGTATTTGGCTGCTATTAATTTCCACATCAGCCACTTCGATGAGCTATCATTTGTGGCCAGATCGCTTCTGCAAAATATCCATATAGCTCAATGGGTCTTATACCAGGTAAATAAAAATATGATTGGTGTAAGGAATGCCTAGAGAACCATATGAAGGGATACGGTGAGTCCTCGCTTAATGCGTGACGGTGTTCACACTACAACGCGTTTTCACTATAACACGGTTCTTCCGTTAGGGAACGTTTATGTTGCCGTTGTGATGTTATAACGCGGAACGTGCCCCATTATAACGCGGAACGTGCCTGTTACAACGTGGAGACCGGTAGGGAAGACAAAGGGAGAGTGGTGGAGAGGCCTTTAAGGTTCCAGAAAGGACAGAGAAGAGGACAAAAGGAGCGGGTAGATGGGGTTCGGTGTGGTGCATTGTAACGGAGCAATTCCCTGAAGCATTACGCGCTGTGTTGAGGTGACAGAGTTCACGTTGAAAGGCTTACCTTGGACTGCAACTCCTTTCCTTTAATGTTACTCCGCTTGTCTCCCTGGGAGAGTCTCGCCAAATCTCAAGACCCTTTTCTCAGGAGGGTCCTGTCAAAGTTTCGCATCTAGGGGGTAAGATCCTGCTCTACGTCATCTCCACCGAGTAATCTCCGGTTATTTGGTTTTAAATATCGGCGTTTTTTGGCCACTAAGCGGTTGCATTGTCCTTTGATGGACGTCCTCTCCCCAAGAACATTGGGGATTGGTTCCACGCGACGACTTTTGTTTATGATTCCACATCGGCGACTCCATGGAGGTGTAGCCGGTCCTCGTTACTTGGGGGACAGGTCGGCTAAATAGACAACAAAGATAAGAGAGTTCTGAGACGATGACGAGAAGACACTCTGCGTTGTGTTCTGAGAAGTGGGAGACTCCACGACAGATGAGCACCAGAGGTTATTTCAGAGCGTTCTTCCGAGGGGCGTTTGCGTGCCAGCCACCATGACCAGACACGCCCCCTATCACCCTCCACGTCACACAACACCTCAGCTCAGTCCCTCAGCAGAGTCCGCCCCATACTCTGAATAGTCGACACATAGCTGGGCATGGCCTGCTGTGCACGTGAGGCTTGGGGTCCCTACAGTGAGGGAAAAAAGTATTTGATCCCCTGCTGATTTTGTACGTTTGCCCACTGACAAAGAAATGATCAGTCTATAACTTTAATGGTAGGTTTACTTGAACAGTGTGAGACAGAATAACAACAAAAAAATCCAGAAAAATGCATGTCAAAGATGTTATAAATTGATTTGCATTTTAATGAGGGAAATAAGTATTTGACACCCTCTCAATCAGAAAGATTTCTGGCTCCCAGGTGTCTTTTATACAGGTAAAGAGCTGAAATTAGGAGCACACTCTTAAAGGAAGTGCTCCTAATCTCAGCTTGTTACCTGTATAAAAGACACCTGTCCACAGAAGCAATCAATCAATCAGATTACAAACTCTCCACCATCGCCAAGACCAAAGAGGTCTCCAAGGATGTCAGGGACAAGATTGTAGACCTACACAAGGCTGGAATGGGCTACAAGACCATTGCCAAGCAGCTTGGTGAGAAGGTGACAAAAGTTGGTGCGATTATTTGCAAATGGAAGAAACACAAAAGAACTGTCAATCTCCCTCGGCCTGGGACTCCATGCAAGATCTCACCTCGTGGAGTTGCAATGATCATGAGAACGGTGAGGAATCAGCCCAGAACTACACGGGAGGATCTTGTCAATGATCTCAAGGCAGCTGGGACCATAGTCACCAAGAAAACAATTGGTAACACACTACGCCGTGAAGGACTGAAATCGTGCAGCACCCGCAAGGTCCCCCTGCTCAAGAAAGCACATATACATGCCTGTCTGAAGTTTGCCAATTAACATCTGAATGATTCAGAAGACAACTGGGTGAAAGTGTTGTGGTCAAATGAAACCAAAATGGAGCTCTTTGGCATCAACTCAACTCGCCGTGTTTGGAGGAGGAGGAATGCTGCCTATGACCCCAAGAACACCATCCCCACCGTCATACATGGAGGTGGAAACATTATGCTTTGGGGGTGTTTTTCTGCTAAGGGGACAGGACAACTTCACCGCATCAAAGGGACGATGGACAGGGCCATGTACCGTCAAATATTGGGTGAGAACCTCCTTCCCTCAGCCAGGGCATTGAAAATGGGTCGTGGATGGGTATTCCAGCATGACAATGACCAAAAACACACGGCCAAGGCAACAAAGGAGTGGCTCAAGAAGAAGCACATTAAGGTCCTGGAGTGGCCTAGCCAGTCTCCAGACCTTTATCCCATAGAAAATCTGTGGAGGGAGCTGAAGGTTCGAGTTGCCAAACGTCAGCCTCGAAACCTTAATTACTCGGAGAAGATCTGCAAAGAGGAGTGGGACAAAATCCCTTCTGAGATGTGTGCAAACCTGGTGGCCAACTTCAAGAAACGTCTGACCTCTGTGATTGCCAACAAGGGTTTTGCCACCAAGTACTAAGTCATGTTTTGCTGATGGGTCAAATACTTATTTCCCTCATTAAAATGCAAATCAATAAATAACATTTTTAACATGCGTTTTTCTGGATTTTGTTGTTGTTATTCTGTCTCTCACCGTTCAAATAAACGTACCATTAAAATTATAGACTGATCATTTCTTTGTCAGTGGGCAAACGTAGACAATCAGCAGGGGTACAAATACTTTTTTCCCTCACTGTATCTCTGATCATCACCGTCACTTATACTAAAAAAATATCTGACTCTCTGTAGCAATCACAGCAGCACATAGCAGCAGTGCATAATTGTATGTAAGATTCATCACGTGTAAGCTCACACTGGCGACTCTGTGGAGGCGAAGCCTCAAGTTGTTGCACGCTTCACCTGTGTGTCCACCCCACAGAGCGACCGTGGTCAAGACGGAACCCGAATGGCAAATGAACGTGCAGTCGGTAAAGGTCAATGCCTCAGGTGAGTTCACAAGTGCAGTGGTGGTCCACCCACAAGTGGCTGGGATTGATTTCCCACTCGGGTGCCTTTCCGTGTGTTGGTCTGTAACTTCCCCCCTCATTCTTCTGAGTGCTCCGTTTTCTTCCAATGTGACTGGTATTGGTCAAGCATCTCAATGTGGACAGAAAATTACCTGCAACATGTCCCGCTCCTGAAACACAAACATCACCCATATAGCCTTCGACTGGTCGGGTAAGTGTTGTTAGCGAGTAGCAACAACTCTGAAGGTCGGTACCGTGGCACACAAGGGAGTGGGTGGCCAGAACCACGCCTGGTCGCTTTTGTTTCCCTAGCTGCAATGTTTCACACAACACCAGGTACTCATTTGAGGGTGAGTCGACCTAGGGGAGGCTCAGGAACAGTTCAGATAATCGTCACCGGTGTTGATGGGCATGAGCAGGAAACAAACGCGGGTCGCCAGGTTCGCAGCGCATCACGCTAACTGCCAAATACCGCTTCCCCAACTCATAAACTACCGTGACAGGCAGCGCCTCCCTTCACACGAGCCTTGTGAAGTATGGCGCAAACACCAAATTAACTCCATTATATTAACGATCGCATGGCAACCGCCTTTGGGTGGCCCTCGTGACCTTTGGAAATCACCCAGAAACCTGCTCCATGCCGGCAGCGCCCAGTCACAATGATCCACCGGCGCCATCGAAGCCCACAAACCTCCTTCCGCACGTACGTCAGCGACAAAACCTCGTGCTCACGCGTGTGCGAGGGCCCAGAGAAACCCCAACATGTGTATCCAGGGGACAACACTCTGTCTCATACAGATGGGCCAGATAGGTAATACTACAGTCCGCACCTTGCTGTGCCACCTTCTCCTGGTGAGCCAAGGATATGGGGGCACCTCCTCGACATCCATGTGGAGGGAGTTTTACAATGTTTGTGTGTGACACCTGAACCTCCGATAAGCATGGTTGGCTATGTACGGTGCGAAAGAAGTTCAACATACATACGTGGTCCACCAACTCTCGTTGACTCCACAGCGCTGGATCGCAGGCATGCATAGCCACAATACCAGGCCTTGCAAGTCGTGGATAAGGCTTAACATGCAAAAACTTTCTCTGTTTTGTGTGAGAGGAGCGATGACAATATTTACAAAAAATCTCATTCCCTTGTGTGTGCTGCAGGTTATGTAGCCACAACTAAGCCACCAGCTAAGACGTCAACCAAGCCAGGCAACTCTGCCGGGCGCGCGGCCCTCGCCATGTCTGGGCTCTCCCTGGGCGCGCTGCTCGTCGTCGTCACAGCCGCGTGCTGTCGTTGATTCCACCGGCGAAGTCACGGAGTTCCTTGAGTGCGTGCAACAGTCCGGAGTGGTGACGAAATGTTGGTGGGGTGGTGGGGGGGGGGGGGCAGTGGGCCGGGTTTCCAAAGTGAAACCATTCCACCAATTCCGTCCATTTGTGGGTTCTGAGGGAAGGTGTTGTCTGGGTTACATCTTAATCATTAAATAATATTCTAAAATTAATCATTGTCATCGTCGTCATTGTCTATGGCAGTTGTTCTCAACCTTATGTTGCTGCTACTGTTACCCTACTCGTTGAATTTTGTCTCAACTGAGTACTTTGCCCGACCCAATACGGTTCTAAGATATAAATGTATGAATAATGAGCATAAATATTTTAATCATTTGTCCATTTCGTGATGTATCTTTAAGTAGCTAGGAACTGCAAAGCAAGACTTAATTTTAGATTTAAAGCTTTCGTGACTGCTAGGATCCATACTCTTTGGTTCTATTGGGTAAAGTCACGTAGGTGAAAATAAAATAACAAAAAATCACGACGTTTCGGCCACAACACAAGCGGCCTTCATCAGGTAAAGGGACGAGACTGTCTGGAGGACAGCGCTGGAGTGAGAGAAGCCACGCTTAGATCACGACCTTTATGCTGTGTGAGAAGAAAAACACAAAGCGCCTTGAAAAAGGAATTAGCATATAATTTAGCATTGAAATGGCTCATTGAAATAGCTAAGTTAAAGTGTACACATCCGCAGAGGTACCCCTTGTATCTTCTCCGAATTCTAAACAGATTCTGCTTAAGGCCAGCCTATCTTTAATCTCAGAGAGGATAAGGCTACTCCGATTTGAACTCGATACTTTAGACAGGACTCTCCTACAAGCTCATTTAATGTTAACACAAAAAATGTCACCTTCTGATTGGAATCACGTAGACAACATGACTGCTTCTTCTGCTGAGTCACTGTCAGTCAAATGTAAAGCTAACCTGATTTCTAAATTCAACCACCTATCAAAGAAAAACCCAGTTCCACATATAACAAAACTAGATGTTAACAAAATCGTCATTAATCAGAGTAGCACCCCAATTTCGGACAATCTGAAAACAGTACTGGCTAGGGGACTAAATTTTGCTGTCACCCCAAAACACATACCAATAGATGATATCATCTCTCAGGTCGATGTAGCCCTCAAAGGCGTAGGACACATCCAAGCAGACGTTGCGAGAGCTGAAATAGCCACTATTCTTAAGAATGCTTAGTAACATCAGCAAAAATGAACGCTCTGAACTCGCGAATTTAAAAAAACAGAAGTGATATAGTCATCCTCTCAGCCGATAAAGGCAACGCTACTGTTATTATGGATAAAGATTCATACAACAACAAAATCCAGAATCTGCTCAACGATGGAAGTTACTCAAAAATAAAAAAATAACCCTACTAATAGCCTAGCGATAAAAACCAACAAGATCATCACAAGTTCGACCTCCCTAATCGACCCAACTAAATGTCCCTCCCTAAAACCTTCTGCTGCAAGACCCCCTAGATTCTATGGTCTTCCCAAGATTCATAAAGAAGGAACCCCACTTCGACCCTTCGTATCCACGATCAACTCCCCTACCTATAGACTAGCCCGTTTTCTGTCAGATACCTTGCTGCCTTTCACTGGCATGACCGCCTCAGTAGTAGTTAACTCAGCCCAATTGGTCTCTATGGTCAAAGACGTTGTAGTGTCCCCTGACGATATCCTTGTCAGCTTCGATGTGGTCTCTTTGTTCACCAAGGTCCCAGTACCTGAAACCATTGAAATAATTGAAAAGTTGGTCCAACATGGACTAGACCCCGACACACCTGCACTGGTTAGGCACTGCCTCAACAATACCTACTTTACTTGGAATGGCTCCTTCTACAAACAAAATGAGGGTACCCCCATGGGATCCCCCTTATCACGAGTGATAGCCAATATTTTCATGGAGAAATTTGAATCAGACGCCATCCAGACTTCCACACTCAGACCTTCCCTGTGGAAGAGAAATGTGGATGACACTTTCGTCATTTGGCCACATGGCCTCCCAGCTCTGAACCTTTTCCTACACCACATCAATTCCAGACATCCCGCCATCAAATTCACCATGGAAGTGGAGAAAGATGGCAAGCTACCATTCTTAGCCGTTCTGTTTGAGAGGAGACCTGATGGCTCATTGGGGCATTCTGTCTACAGGAAACCCACCCACACAGATTCCTACTTGAAATCTGATTCCCACCACCACCCAGCCCAAAATAATTCTCTCATCAAAACTTTATTCCATAGGGCTCATTGCATTTCAGACCAACACCACCTGACCAGTGAATTAAAACATGTACACCTGGCCCTGAAAAGGAATGGTTACTCTGACCGTACCATCCGCCAAGCTGTTTCTCCCTCCATACAGAAACAACCACTTGATACTCCGGTCAAAACCATCACACTTCCATATATAGCAGGCGTTACTAAAAAGATTTCCAAAATTCTAAACAAACACAAGATCCAGGTCCGGTTCAATACAGTACACAAAATTCGTGATCTGATCCCATCCGTGAAGGATGTCATTCCTGATTTACAGTACCCCGGGGTTTACAAAATGAGTTGTACCTGCGGTGATTGCTATATCGGGGAGGCAAAGCGACATGTCTCTGACCGAATTCGCGAGCACAAATCAGATTTGAAACACGGCAAAACGAATTCTTCTACCGTGGCTGATCACTGTTAAAACGCTGTGGGTGATCACGATATAATTTTCTCCGATACCAAGGTTCTTTGCAAACCCACGGGCTTTTATCAGAGATTTGTTCATGAAGCAATTCAGATCTACAAACACAGACACAATTTCAACCGAGAGGATGGTTTCAAATTAAGCAACCATTGGAAAGATGTTCTAAATCGAACTAAACATTAAACTAATTTCAATGGTACAGTATATTTTTTTCAAGTAGTGGTACCCCAAACTTTCGCAGCTCTTATAAATTCCCTTTTCACACCATCAATAGGTAAACTCCCCCTCCCCCCCTTCCCCCGCGCCAAACGGCAAGTCCACCGGCACGTACACCACCTCTTTCCAAAAATCCGCCAATCAAATGCTAATTTTTATGCTAATTTCTTTGTCAGAACACCTTGTTTGCTCGCACACAGTTTAAAGGTCCGCTGTCTGAGCGTGGTTGTGTTTCGCTAAATTCTCCTGTTTGATGAGTACTAGGTGCCTCGGTGAATGTATATGCTCTGACTTTAACATAGCTATTTCTGTGACCAGTTACAAGCTAATCACTCAGCTATTTCAATGCTAAATTCTATGCTAATTCCTTTGTCAAGGGGTACTTCTGCGGATGTGTATATTTTAACTTAGCTATTTCAATGAGCCATTTCAATGCTAAATTATATGCTAATTCCTTTGTCAAGGCGCTTTGTGTTTTTCTTCTCACACAGCTTAAAGGTCGTGATCTAAGCATGGCTTCTCTCACTCCAGCGCTGTCCTCCAGACAGTCTCGTCCCTTTACCTGATGAAGGCCGCTTGTGTTGTGGCCGAAACGTCGTGATTTTTTGTTATTTTATTTTCACCTACGTGACTTTACCCAATAGAACTAAAGTGTAAAGACTTAATTTGTTCACTCTTGCTGGTTACTCTTGGCAACCATATTGTTTACCATCACTGAGTTTAGAAAGGTATTGTATAACGTTCTAGGTTACCGTATATTTACATTTTATCGTAGTTATTTTTATATTCGCAGATTCACACAACATGATTATTCACCGATGACTCTTCACGTATGATAGAATTCCAGATATTTATAAATCATCTCGCGTACTCCCCTGGGACATTGCCACGTGTACCCCCCAGGGGACCACGTACCCCCGGTTGAGAACCACCACTCCATGGGGCAGGGCTTCCCCAAATGCAGTCCCCGCAACCAACCGACCGACCGACCGACAGCCACCACGCTCAGTCCTTCACGCGTTCACGAATTTACTTCATCCCAATTCAACGGTGGCCTTGAACTCCGTGCAGACCCACCAACCCCACACCGTGCACACAGCCAGCAGCGCCTTCCTCATTTCCAGGGAGATGGGGCCAAGGGGTTTAAGTCTTTGACAAATGTCGGTGGTCAGTAGAGTTTATTTAGGAGGGTAAAACTCAAAAGCAGAAAAAATAGTGGACAAATTTGCTTAACACAAAAAAATGCAAAAAACGAGTTTTCTGAAAAGCCCACTGAGTATTAATTTATTTTTCAAAAGCAAGCTGGGCAGATATGAAGGCTCAACAAAGTGGCTTATCATTTGGACATTTACAGCAGCAAAATAATCTAAACACTCGAAACGCATTTTCTAAATGTGGAGGGAAAAACTGGAGGACGCGGAGAATCAATTCACCCGACCACGGGGAGGACGTGCAAACTCCACATATATACAGGCGTCAGGGTCGGGATCGAACCCCTGATCTCCTACATACCGGGCGAGGAGGATAGCATCTCGTCACAGTGGCACCCCTTCAATAAATAAAGTAGACAAGTTCAGCTTGCACCATCAGTTCCGACCCTTATACTCGAGAGATGAGCGGGGGAAGAGGAGGGGGGGGGGGACACGCAGCGGGGAGCAGACAAACAAAAGGGGGACCACTTTTGTCAACGCAGAACGTTGCGCAATATTTTCGTATTCTGCTGAAGCGCAAGGTGTGGTGGTCTCGTCGTTGCGCTGTCCGCGGGGACTCGAAGCGAACGTCGCAGCCCCGAATGACCTCTCTCCGAGCGAGAGGACGAACCCCGCGCAGCAGCGCGGTGTCGGTCAGAGGGCCGCGACGATGCCTGCTGTGTATTTGCGTGTGACGAGATGCTAACTACCTCGCCTGGTATACAGGAAGTCGTGGGTTACATCCCGACACTGATGATGCCTGTTGCATGTTTGTAGTTTGCATGTCTGTCCCTCCCCCTCCCCGTGCTTGTGTGGATTTTTCTTCCGTGACCTCCGGTTTTTTTGCTCTCCACGTTTAAAAACACGCGTTTAGTAGTAGTAGGAAAGCAACTGCAATTTGTATTTTTACCAGGTAAAAGCCCACTGAGCCAAATACATAGCTCTTTTTAAGAAGCTACCTGGACATGACGAATGATTGCTCAAGGAAGTGGCCTCTCGTCACGCCATGCGCTTTAGCAGATTACAAAAAATTGCAAAATATCCATTGCGCAAATTCTGTCTAAATCGCTGTGGCACCGGTGAACAATGAGTGCCACCGCTTTTTTCCACTCTACGCTGTGGCCCCCCACCCCCTCATCCCTCGATTACTTCAAATGCCCAGGCGCCCACGCAGGTCCGGCTCACAGCACCTATGCTGCTCCCCTCACCGTTTGCGCCCAGAACGATCGCAAACACGAACAATTTGAACATTTGAACAAAATACATTTTCATTATTTTTTGGTTGTTTGCTGTTAACCTTCGCCGGCTTATATTTTAAAATTTGGCCCCAGCATTTATTTTTGCTCAAAGTTTTTGAGTTTTACTATCCGAAATAAATTAATTTTGACCACTAACATTTGTAGTCGACTTAAACGCCGCGGCCTTGTCTCTCTCTGCGAATGATGGAGGCGCTGCTGGCTGTGTGGATGGTGGGGTTGGTGGGTCTGCACGGAACTCAGGGCTTCCCTGGTGGAGCTCCATCATCTGCCTGCACCGATATGGTTCCACAGCACGACCCCAACACACTGACCGGCACACCCTACTCCATCGTCACCAACAGCAGCACCTTCACCTCTGGCACCAAGGTTAACGGTGAGTGAATGACCCCACCACCCACCACCACCCCGACACAACTCCCTCCGCTCGTCGACTGTCCGTACGTTGAGCTTCTTTCACACCGTACGTAGCCAACCGTGCTAGTCGCAGGTGCGGATTCCTCCAGCCCGTATCGAGGACTCAGTCGACCGGACTGACCGCTCCTCATCTGCACGGCGTTCAACCACCACGGACCGCTCACTCACTCAGCTATAGAGTCGCTTGGCAAACGAGCAGACGCTACTGAGTTGTACTCTACTCAATTACGACAGGGCAGCCTCGATTTACGATTATTCGTCATTAAAGCTTTCGTGACTGCAAGGATTCATCTTCTTTGGTTCTTTCGGTTAAGTCACGTAGAATGAGAATAAAATAATAAAATAACGCAATACAATTCTCACGACGTTTCGGCCACAACACAAGTAGCCTTCTTCAGGTGAAGGAACAGAACTGTCGGGACGAAGCTCTGTCGTCCGACAGTTCTGTTCCTTCACCTGAAGAAGGCTACTTGTGTTGTGGCCGAAACGTCGTGAGAATTTTATCGTGTTATTTTATTTTATTAGTTTATTATTTTATTCTCATTCTACGTGACTTTACCGAAAGAACCAACGAAGATTAGTTCGTAAGTCAAAACGTAATAGCGTACCGTATTGGACACACGATCATTGCTATGCAATTTGTTACGGTTCAACAAAAAATGGAAGCAGTTAAACTAATGGAGAATAAATATTGTACATTTGCATGTAACACTGTGAACAAAACTACTGTACAGTAAAAATAAACGCAAAATAAAGTAACATAACATGTACAAATTCCGTTTATTTTCACTTACCTTGAGTCCTGATGCTGGTGTGCTTGTCGGAAGGGACGCAATTAGTCACCAAAATTGCACTCACACAGACACACGGGGCGCACACACAGATGCACACACAGACACACACACAGGGCATGCACGCACACACATAAACACACACAGGATACGTACGCACACACACTCCACCGATCCCCCACTTAGCTTTAACACATTGTTGGAGAGCAGCGCCTATGAAGGCCGGCACGGCACACGAGGGGGTGAGCGGGAAGCACCACGCCCGGCCGCCTTCGTCTCCGTGGTAGAAATATTTACACACTGCACCAGGCACTCATTTGGGGCTGAGTCGACCTCGGGGAGGCCAAGGAGCGGTTCGGATTATCGCCACCGGTGTTGGCCGTGAGCGGAAATCGAACTCGGGTCACCGGATTCATAGCGCAGCGCGCTAACCAATGCGCCACCGCAACCCATACACACACCGCCCTCTCTCTCACACACACACACACTTTCACACACACACGCTCTCTCTCACACACACACTTTCACATACGCACAAACACTCCCAGCGCAAGATTGACCCATGACATCTCGCGCAGGATCGCTCCGCCGAACAAAATTGTTCCCGTGGATCAGTTTGCAAGTGCGAGTTCGCGTTTTAAGTCAACGTCAAAATAAATATATTTCATGGAAGCTAGTTCGTACGTCGGGTGTTCGTAAATGCTCTTAAGTTGAGGACTGTCTGTGTTTCGCACATTTCCTTTGGACATGGGGGATGGTTGATATGCACTGTATCGACATTTGGTGCCAGGACTGTTGAATTTCAATACCGCAGTGCTCTGTGTGTTATCCCCCCCGACGACCCATTTGGGAGATCCAAAGTTGTGACGGACGGACTTTTGCAAATGATCATGAACAAAGAAATGGCGGAGTTCTGATAGAACCTCGCGCTGAGAAAAATGTCTGCGTGGAGTCTCCAGTGGCTAAGCCGACTTGTCCCCGAGAGCCCGGTCCGTCTCCAATTCAAGAGAGCGCTGGGCTTAAAATCACGGGGAATTTAAAACGAACCGGATTGTCCACTTTTACTGTGGAGTCATCCCAGCCACAGCTCGTGTCACGAAAGGGGCGAGAAGCGCGACAGCCGAGCTAAGGTGGTGGGGGGGCTGCGAGCGTCTCACAAATTGTCGCCTCCTTGTGTCTGTCCGCAGTCACCATCGTGGGCACCTTCAAGGGCTACTTCCTGCAAGCGCGAATACCCGACACCACGACCATCGTGGGCACATGGGACACCCCACCTGCAGACAACATCTTCGTGCTGGTGACTCATCCCTTGGTTGACATCATCCTCATGAATTTCGATTTAAAGCTTTCGTGACTGCAAGGATTCATCTTCTTTGGTTCGTTCGGTAAAGTCACGTAGAATGAGAATAAAATAATAAATTGATAAAATAAAATAACACAATAATATTCTCACGACGTTTCGGCCACAACACAAGCGGCCTTCATCAGGTGAAGGTACGAGACTGTCTGGAGGACAGCGCTGGAGCGACTTTACCGAAAGAACCAAAGAAGATCATCCTCATAATCACGATCCATGGGCAGATAGCCCGGAGGTGTCCACTGCACATCTCGTCATGTTTCCACTTTCCACTGTCTTGCGCAACTTGCTCAAGTAGTAGCCACATCTTGCTAGCACCAATCTCTTATGTCGTCGTCAAGCCATTGTCTGAGGTCTTTCTCTCGTTCTTGTTCCTTTCATATTTCTGAACAACACTTTTAATTTCCATCCTACATGTTGTGTGCCCACAGTGCCAGTTTCCTTCTCATCACCGCCTACGTTAGTCACTCTTTGGGTCCTGCCATCACTCCTTTTGGTTCTTGATCCTCACTCTTGGCGGATGTCGTTTAATCTGCCACCACCCGACACAGCCAATTAGTGAGGTTTGTCAAGTATCAAAACATGGCAATTCGTAACGAAATGAATAGAATGTGGTGGGTGGTTAATGCGCGGGTTCGGGATGTTTCAGGCTGGACATTGGCCCATTCTAAGCACGCATAGCCCCTTTAACTCAAGGCGAGGCGAGGGACGGGGGATAAACACGGTTGGGGCACGTGGTCATCCTGTGCACGTTTCCATCATTGCCAACCTGGTCTGGGCTGTACAACAGCCAACAAAGGGCTCCATAGGCTCATTGGGTTCATTCCAGCTTCAATAACAATGTCCATTCTCGTTTTGTTTCTGTGTCTCGCAGTGCAATTCCGTGCCAAAGGCCGCGGTGACGCACTCCACCAGCACCTCCAAGACGAACCTGAGCTTGTTTTGGATCCCGCCGACTACAAACCCTCCCAGCTCCGTAGTGTTTGTGTGAGTTCACCGTCACAGGGCACTCTTACGCACACAGCCCACTGGATTATTATGTATATTAGTACTAATTACACGCCAAAGTGGCTACCAGATGTTAACTACCTTCGCCTGGTATACAGGAAGCTGTGGGTTCGATCCCGACCCCGACGCCTATATATTTGGAGTGTGCATGTCTCTCTCAATGTGGTCAGGTGCATTTTTCTCCGGGTCCTCCAGTTTTTCCCTCCACATTTAGAATGGCCACATATTTAGAGTATTTGGCTGCTATTAATTTCCACATCAGCCACTTCGATGAGCTATCAATTGTGGCCAGATCACTTCTGCAAAATATCCATATAGCTCAATGGGTCTTATACCGGGTAAATAAAAATATGATTGGTGTAAGGAATGCCTAGAGAACCCTATGAAGGGATACGGTGAGTCCTCGCTTAATTCGTGACGGTGTTCACACTACAACGCGTTTTCGCCATAACACGGTTCTTCCGTTAGGGAACGTTTATGTTGCCGTTATGTGATGTTATAACGCGGAACGTGCCCAATTATAATGCGGAACGTGCCTGTTACAACGCGGAGACCGGTAGGGAAGACAAAGGGAGATTGGTGGAGAGGCCTTTAAGGTTCCAGAAAGGACAGAGAAGAGGACAAGAGGAGCGGGTAGAAGGGGTTCGGTGTGGTGCATTGTAACGGAGCAATTCCCTGAAGCGTTATGCGCTGTGTTGAGGTGACAGAGTTCACGTTCAAAGGCTTACCTTGGACTGCAACTCCTTTCCTTTAATATTACTCCGCTTGTCTACCTGGGAGAGTCTCGCCAAATCTCAAGACCCTTTTCTCAGGAGGGTCCTGTCAAAGTTTCGCATCTAGGGGGTAAGATCCTGCTCTACGTCATCTCCACCGAGTAATCTCCGGTTATTTGGTTTTAAATATCGGCGTTTTTTGGCCACTAAGCGGTTGCATTGTCCTTCGATGGACGTCCTCTCCCCAAGAATATCGGGGATTGGTTCCACGCGACGACTTTTGTTTATGATTCCACATCGGCGACTCCATGGAGGTGTAGCTGGTCCTCGTTACTAGGGGGACAGGTCGGCTAAATAGAAAACAAAGATAAGAGAGATCTGAGACGATGACGAGAAGACACTCTGCGTTGTGTTCTGAGAAGTGGGAGACTCCACAACAGATGAGCACCAGAGGTTATTTCAAAGCGTTCTTCCGAGGGGCGTTTGCGTGCCAGCCACCATGACCAGACACGCCCCCTATCACCCTCCACGTCACACAACACCTCAGCTCAGTCCCTCAGCAGAGTCCGCCCCATACTCTGAATAGTCGACACATAGCTGGGCATGGCCTGCTGTGCACGTGAGGCTTGGGGTCCCTACAGTGAGGGAAAAAAGTATTTGATCCCCTGCTGATTTTGTACGTTTGCCCACTGACAAAGAAATGATCAGTCTATAATTTTAATGGTAGGTTTATTTGAACAGTGTGAGACAGAATAACAACAAAAAAATCCAGAAAATGCATGTCAAAGATGTTATAAATTGATTTGCATTTTAATGAGGGAAATAAGTATTTGACACCCTCTCAATCAGAAAGATTTCTGGCTCCCAGGTGTCTTTTATACAGGTAACGAGCTGAAATTAGGAGCACACTCTTAAAGGAAGTGCTCCTAATCTCAGCTTGTTACCTGTATAAAAGACACCTGTCCACAGAAGCAATCAATCAATGAGATTCCCAACTCTCCACCATGGCCAAGACCAAAGAGCTCTCCAAGGATGTCAGGGACAAGATTGTAGACCTACACAAGGCTGGAATGGGCTACAAGACCATTGCCAAGCAGCTTGGTGAGAAGGTGACAACAGTTGGTGCGATTATTTGCAAATGGAAGAAACACAAAAGAACTGTCAATCTCCCTCGGCCTGGGACTCCATGCAAGATCTCACCTCGTGGAGTTGCAATGATCATGAGAACGGTGAGGAATCAGCCCAGAACTACACGGGAGGATCTTGTCAATGATCTCAAGGCAGCTGGGACCATAGTCACCAAGAAAACAATTGGTAACACGCTACACCGTGAAGGACTGAAATCCTGCAGCACCCGCAAGGTCCCCCTGCTCAAGAAAGCACATATACATGCCCGTCTGAAGTTTGCCAATGAACATCTGAATGATTCAGAAGACAACTGGGTGAAAGTGTTGTGGTCAAATGAAACCAAAATGGAGCTCTTTGGCATCAACTCAACTCGCCGTGTTTGGAGGAGGAGGAATGGTGCCTATAACCCCAAGAACACCATCCCCACCGTCATACATGGAGGTGGAAACATTATGCTTTGGGGGTGTTTTCTGCTAAGGGGACAGGACAACTTCACCGCATCAAAGGGACGATGGACGGGGCCATGTACCGTCAAATCTTGGGTGAGAACCTCCTTTCCTCAGCCAGGGCATTGAAAATGGGTCGTGGATGGGTATTTCAGCATGACAATGACCCAAAACACACGGACAAGGCAACAAAGGAGTGGGTGAAGAAGAAGCACATTAAGGTCCTGGAGTGGCCTAGCCAGTCTCCAGACCTTTATCCCATAGAAAATCTGTGGCGGGAGCTGAAGGTTCGAGTTGCCAAACGTCAGCCTCGAAACCTTAATTACTCGGAGAAGATCTGCAAAGAGTGGGACAAAATCCCTTCTGAGATGTGTGCAAACCTGGTGGCCAACTTCAAGAAACGTCTGACCTCTGTGATTGCCAACAAGGGTTTTGCCACCAAGTACTAAGTCATGTTTTGCAGACGGGTCAAATACTTATTTCCCTCATTAAAATGCAAATCAATTTATAAAATTTTTGACATGCGTTTTTCTGGATTTTGTTGTTGTTATTCTGTCTCTCACTGTTCAAATAAACGTACCATTAAAAATATAGACTGATCATTTCTTTGTCAGTGGGCAAACGTAGACAATCAGCAGGGGTACAAATACTTTTTTTCCCTCACTGTATCTCTGATCATCACCGTCACTCATACTAAAAAAAAATCTGACTCTCTGTAGCAATCACAGCAACACATAGCAGCAGTGCACAATTGTACGTAAGATTCATCACGTGTAAGCTCACACTGGCGACTCTGTGGAGGCGAGGCCTCAAGTTGTTGCACGCTTCACCTGTGTGTCCACCCCACAGAGCGACCGTGGTCAAGACGAAACACGAATGGCAAATGAACGTGCAGTCGGTAAAGGTCAATGCCTCAGGTGAGTTCACGAGTGCAGTGGTGGTCCACCCACAAGTGGCTGGGATTGATTTCCCACTCAGGTGCCTTTCCGTGTGTTGGTCTGTAACTTCCCCCCTCATCTGCATGGGTTTCCTCTGAGTGCTCCGTTTTCTTCCAATGTGACTGGTATTGGTCAAGCATCTCAATGTGGACAGAAAATTACCTGCAACATGTCCCGCTCCTGAAACAGAAACATCCCCCATATAGCCTTCGACTGGTGGGGCAAGTGTTGTTAGCGAGTAGCAACAACTCTGAAGGCCGGTACCGTGGCACACAAGGGAGTGGGTGGCCAGAACCACGCCCGGTCGCTTTTGTTTCCCTAGCCGCAATGTTTTCACACAACTCCAGGTACTCATTTGAGGCTGAGTGGACCTAGGGGAGGCTCAGGAACAGTTCACAAAATCGTCACCGGTGTTGATGGGCATGAGCAGGAAACAAACGCGGGTCGCCAGGTTCGCAGCGCATCACGCTAACTGCCAAATACCGCTTCCCCAACTCATAATCTACCGTGACAGGCAGCGCCTCCCTTCACACGAGCCTTGTGAAGTATGGCGCAAACACCGAATTAACTCCATTATATTAACGATCGCATGGCAATCGCCTTTGGGTGGCCTTCGTGACCTTTGGAAATCACCCAGAGACCTGCTCCATGCCGGCAGCGCCCAGTCACAATGATCCACCGGCGCCATCGAAGCCCACAAACCTCCTTCCGCACGTACGTCAGCGACAAAACCTCGTGCTCACGCGTGTGCGAGGGCCCAGAGAAACCCCAACATGTGTATCCAGGGGACAACACTCTGTCTCATACAGATGGGCCAGATAGGTAATACTACAGTCCGCACCTTGCTGTGCCACCTTCTCCTGGTGAGCCAAGGATATGGGGGCACCTCCTCGACATCCATGTGGAGGGAGTTTTACAATGTTTGTGTGTGACACCTGAACCTCCGATAAGCATGGTTGGCTATGTACGGTGCGAAAGAAGTTCAACAAACATACGTGGTCCACCAACTCTCGTTGACTCCACAGCGCTGGATCGCAGGCATGCATAGCCACAATACCAGGCCTTGCAAGTTGTGGATAAGGCTTAACATGCAAAAACTTTCTCTGTTTTGTGTGAGAGGAGCGATGACAATATTTACAAAAAATCTCATTCCCTTGTGTGTGCTGCAGGTTATGTAGCCACAACCAAGCCACCAGCTAATTCCACAACCAAGCCACCAGCTAAGACGTCAACCAAGCCAGGCAACTCTGCCGGGCGCGCGGCCCTCGCCATGTCTGGGCTCTCCCTGGGCGCGCTGCTCGTGGTCGTCACAGCCGCGTGCTGTCGTTGATTCCACCGGCGAAGTCACGGAGTTCCTTGAGTGCGTGCAACAGTCCGGAGTGGTGACGAAATGTTGGTGGGGTGGTGGGGGGGGGGGCAGTGGGCCGGGTTTCCAAAGTGAAACCATTCCGCCAATTCCGTCCATTTGTGGGTTCTGAGGGAAGGTGTTGTCTGGGTTACATCTTAATCATTAAATAATATTCTAAAATTAATCATTGTCATCGTCGTCATTGTCTATGGCAGTTGTTCTCAACCTTATGTTGCTGCTACTGTTACCCTACTCGTTGAATTTTGTCTCAACTGAGCACTTTGCCCGACCCAATACGGTTCTAAGATATAAATGTATGAATAATGAGCATAAATATTTTAATCATTTGTCCATTTCGTGATGTATCTTTAAGTAGCTAGGAACTGCAAAGCAAGACTTAATTTTAGATTTAAAGCTTTCGTGACTGATAGGATCCATACTCTTTGGTTCTATTGGGTAAAGTCACGTAGGTGAAAATAAAATAACAAAAAATCACGACGTTTCGGCCACAACACAAGCGGCCTTCATCAGGTAAAGGGACGAGACTGTCTGGAGGACAGCGCTGGAGTGAGAGAAGCCATGCTTAGATCACGACCTTTAAGCTGTGTGAGAAGAAAAACACAAAGCGCCTTGACAAAGGAATTAGCATATAATTTAGCATTGAAATGGCTCATTGAAATAGCTAAGTTAAAGTGTACACATCCACAGAGGTACCCCTTATATCTTCTCCGAATTCTAAACAGATTCTGCTTAAGGCCAGCCTATCTTTAATCTCAGAGAGGATAAGGCTACTCCGATTTGAACTCGATACTTTAGACAGGACTCTCCTACAAGCTCATTTAATGTTAACACAAAAAATGTCACCTTCTGATTGGAATCACGTAGACAACATGACTGCTTCTTCTGCTGAGTCACTGTCAGTCAAATGTAAAGCTCACCTGATTTCTAAATTCAACCACCTATCAAAGAAGAACCCAGTTCCACATATAACAAAACTAGATGTTAACAAAATCGTCATTAATCAGAGTAGCACCCCGATTTCGGACAATCTGAAAACAGTACTGGCTAGGGGACTAAATTTTGCTGTCACCCCAAAACACATACCAATAGATGATATCATATCTCAGGTCGATGTAGCCCTCAAAGGCGTAGGACACATCCAAGCAGACGTTGCGAGAGCTGAAATAGCCAGTATTCTTAAGAATGCTTAGTAACATTAGCAAAAATGAACGCTCTGAACTCGCGAATTTAAAAAAACAGAAGTGATATAGTCATCCTCTCAGCCGATAAAGGCAACGCTACTGTTATTATGGATAAAGATTCATACAACAACAAAATTCAGAATATGCTCAACGATGGAAGTTACTCAAAGATAAAAAATAACCCTACTAATAGCCTAGCGATAAAAACCAACAAGATCATCACAAGTTCGACCTCCCTAATCGACCCAACTAAACGTCCCTCCCGAAAACCTTCTGCTGCAAGACCCCCTAGATTCTATGGTTTTCCCAAGATTCATAAAGAAGGCACCCCACTTCGACCCATCGTATCCACGATCAACTCCCCTACCTATAGACTAGCCCGTTTTCTGTCAGATACCTTGCTGCCTTTCACTGGAAAGACCGCCTCAGCAGTACTTAACTCAGCCCAATTGGTCTCTATGGTCAAAGACGTTGTAGTGTCCCCTGACGATATCCTTGTCAGCTTCGATGTGGTCTCTTTGTTCACCAAGGTCCCAGTGCCTGAAACCATTGAAATAATTGAAAAGTTGGTCCAACATGGACTAGACCCCGACACACCTGCATTGGTTAGGCACTGCCTCAACAATACCTACTTTACTTGGAATGGCTCCTTCTACAAACAAAATGAGGGTACCCCCATGGGATCCCCCTTATCACCAGTGATAGCCAATATTTTCATGGAGAAATTTGAATCAGACGCCATCCAGACTTCCACCCTCAGACCTTCCCTGTGGAAGAGATATGTGGATGACACTTTCGTCATTTGGCCACATGGCCTCCCAGCTCTGAACCTTTTCCTACACCACATCAATTCCAGACATCCCGCCATCAAATTCACCATGGAAGTGGAGAAAGATGGCAAGCTACCATTCTTAGATGTTCTGTTTGAGAGGAGACCTGATGGCTCATTGGGGCATTCTGTCTACAGGAAACCCACCCACACAGATTCCTACTTGAAATCTGATTCCCACCACCACCCAGCCCAAAATAATTATCTCATCAAAACTTTATTCCATAGGGCTCATTGCATTTCGGACCAACACCACCTGACCAGTGAATTAAAACATGTACACCTGGCCCTGAAAAGGAATGGTTACTCTGACCGTACCATCCGCCAAGCTGTTTCTCCCTCCATACAGAAACAACCACTTGATACTCCGGTCAAAACCATCACACTTCCATATAGAGCAGGCGTTACTAAAAAGATTTCCAAAATTCTAAACAAACACAAGATCCAGGTCCGGTTCAATACAGTACACAAAATTCGTGATCTGATCCCATCCGTGAAGGATGTCATTCCTGATTTACAGTACCCCGGGGTTTACAAAATGAGTTGTACCTGCGGTGATTGCTATATCGGGGAGGCAAAGCGACATGTCTCTGACCGAATTCGCGAGCACAAATCAGATTTGAAACACGGCAAAACGAATTCTTCTACCGTGGCTGATCACTGTTAAAACGCTGTGGGTGATCACGATATAATTTTCTCCGATACCAAGGTTCTTTGCAAACCCACGGGCTTTTATCAGAGATTTGTTCATGAAGCAATTCAGATCTACAAACACAGACACAATTTCAACCGAGAGGATGGTTTCAAATTAAGCAACCATTGGAAAGATGTTCTAAATCGAACTAAACATTAAACTAATTTCAATGGTACAGTATATTTTTTTCAAGTAGTGGTACCCCAAACTTTCGCAGCTCTTATAAATTCCCTTTTCACACCATCAATAGGTAAACTCCCCCTCCCCCCCTTCCCCCGCACCAAACGGCAAGTCCACCGGCACGTACAACACCTCTTTCCTAAAATCCGCCAATCAAATGCTAATTTTTATGCTAATTTCTTTGTCAGAACACCTTGTTTGCTCGCACACAGTTTAAAGGTCCGCTGTCTGAGCGTGGTTGTGTTTCGCTAAATTCTCCTGTTTGATGAGTACTACGTGCCTCGGTGAATGTATATGCTCTGACTTTAACTTAGCTATTTCAATGAGCCATTTCAATGCTAAATTATATGCTAATTCCTTTGTCAAGGCGCTTTGTGTTTTCTTCTCACACAGCTTAATGGTCGTGATCTAAGCATGGCTTCTCTCACTCCAGCGCTGTCCTCCAGACAGTCTCGTCCCTTTACCTGATGAAGGCCGCTTGTGTTGTGGCCGGAACGTCGTGATTTTTTGTTATTTTATTTTCACCTACGTGACTTTACCCAATAGAACTAAAGTGTAAAGACTTAATTTGTTCACTCTTGCTGGTTACTCTTGGCAACCATATTGTTTACCATCACTGAGTTTAGAAAGGTATTTTATAACGTTCTAGGTTACCGTATATTTACATTTTATCGTAGTTATTTTTATATTCGCAGATTCACACAACATGATTATTCACCGATGACTCTTCATGTTTGATAGAATTCCAGATATTTATAAATCATCTCGCGTACCCCCCTGGGACATTGCCACGTGTACCCCCCCAGGGGTCCACGTACCCCCCGGTTGAGAACCACCACTCCATGGGGCAGGGCTTCCCCAAATGCAGTCCCCGCAACCAACCGACCGACCGACAGCCACCACGCTCTGTCCTTCACGCGTTCACAAATTTACTTCATCCCCATTCAACGGTGGCCTTGACCCCACACCGTGCACACAGCCAGCAGCGCCTTCCTCATTCCCAGGGAGATGGGGCCAAGGGGTTTAAGTCTTTGACAAACGTCGGTGGTCAGTAGAGTTTATTTAGGAGGGTAAAACTCAAAAGCAGAAAAAAAGTGGACAAATTTGCTTAACACAAAAAAATCCAAAAAAACGAGTTTTCTGAAAAGCCCACTGAGTATTAATTTATTTTTCAAAAGCAAGCTTGGCAGATATGAAGGCTCAACAAAGTGGCTTATCATTTGGACATTTACAGCAGCAAAATAATGTAAACACTCGAAACGCATTTTCTAAATGTGGAGGGAAAAACTGGAGGACGCGGAGAATCAATTCACCCGACCACGGGGAGGACGTGCAAACTCCACACATATATACAGGCGTCAGGGTCGGGATCGAACCCCTCATCTCCTACATACCGGGCGAGGAGGATAGCATCTCGTCACAGTGGCACCCCTTCAATAAATAAAGTAGACAAGTTCAGCTTGCACCATCAGTTCCGACCCTTATACTCGAGAGATGAGCGGGGGAAGAGGAGGGGGGGGGGGACACGCAGCGGGGAGCAGACAAACAAAAGGGGGACCACATTTGTCAACGCAGAACGTTGCGCAATATTTTCGTATTCTGCTGAAGCGCAAGGTGTGGTGGTCTCGTCGTTGCGCTGTCCGCGGGGACTCGAAGCGAACGTCGCAGCCCCGAATGACCTCTCTCCGAGCGAGAGGACGAACCCCGCGCAGCAGCGCGGTGTCGGTCAGAGGGCCGCGACGATGCCTGCTGTGTATTTGCGTGTGACGAGATGCTAACTACCTCGCCTGGTATACAGGAAGTCGTGGGTTACATCCCGACACTGATGATGCCTGTTGCATGTTTGAAGTTTGCATGTCTGTCCCTCCCCCTCCCCGTGCTTGTGTGGATTTTTCTTCCGTGACCTCCGGTTTTTTTGCTCTCCACGTTTAAAAACACGCGTTTAGTAGTAGTAGGAAAGCAACTGCAATTTGTATTTTTACCAGGTAAAAGCCCACTGAGCCAAATACATAGCTCTTTTTAAGAAGCTACCTGGACATGACGAATGATTGCTCAAGGAAGTGGCCTCTCGTCACGCCATGCGCTTTAGCAGATTACAAAAAATTGCAAAATATCCATTGCGCAAATTCTGTCTAAATCG